CTCTTTCTGTCCCCAGGCGATTGCACACTATGAGCAGGCTGCTGACTATTACAAAGGAGAGGAGTCCAACAGGCAAGTGGGCTTTGTGGCAGAGTTGCAGCAGGGGGGTTGTCCTGGGTGGCCTGGACACCTGCATGTGGCCCCTCCTAAAAGGTCCTTGGGTGGGATGCCCAGGCCCTGCTTAGATTTCTGTTTGATGTTCTCCTCCTGACCCCAGGGTGTCTGGTTTGGGGTGCCTGTTTTGGGGGCAGAGAAAGCACAGAATAATTAAACACAAACACAAGCTCTGTGCTGAGCTGAAGTTCTCTGTGTCTTTCTGTCTGTACTAACCTTGGCTAATAAAAAGAAAATTCCCTTAATTTGCAGTTTTTGGGTCCTGCTTTTATGTACGCTAAGTGGTACGTGTAGTACTTGGAGGTGCCAGAGGTGGATTTGTTTTGCTCCAGGACACAATGACTGACTCTAACTCTCTAATTGGTTGTAGCTCAGCCAACAAGTGTCTGCTGAAGGTGGCTGCCTACGCTGCGCAGCTGGAGCAGTACCAGAAGGCAATAGAAATCTATGAGCAGGTGAGGGTGTGTGCTGCAGCTGACGGCACAAACATTGTTATACAATGCAAAGTGGGTTAGCATGTCAGTCTTGCAAAATTGTTGTGGCCTAGAAGCTCCCAGTCCTGCTTGTTCTGGGGCTGACAGTGCCTTTAAAAGGCATGGTTTGCTCCTTTGCTTTTAAGAGTTGGTTTAACTTACCAAAGGCACTTTTGTCCCTGAATTCTTCTGTTTCTAGAGAAAGGCTGAGGGAGGGAAATCTATAATTGCACTTTTGATTGTGTTTACAAATACCTTTGGCAGCAAATTTTCCCCCAGATTTGTAAACTTGATTGCTGTGGTGTGGTGCCAGGTATTTCCCTGGGAACACTCACAGTGCTGCATTTGTGCTTCTGGAGTGTTCATACTGAAGCAGGTTTCCACCAAGGTGACTTCTTCCCCTCCTTCTCCATCAACCAGATGCCAAGCTATCAGTGAGGTACGAGGAGCTCCCTGAGAGATTGGGCTGTGTGGGCCTGAGAGTCTCTGACTTCCCTTGGGATTAGTTAAAAATCTGCCTGCCTTCCCAACAGCTTTTTGTAGAGACATTTTTTCCACAGTCTTTATTCACAGGCGGCTGTGTGGGTGCTGTGGGTGGTTTTAATCAACTGTCCTGTTTTTAATCCAGTTCCTGATGACATGGTTTTCTTGCCCCGCTCTCGTGCCTAGGTCGGAACGAACACGATGGATAATCCTTTGCTCAAATACAGTGCTAAAGAGTATTTCTTCAAAGCGGCTCTGTGCCACTTCATCGTGGATGAGCTAAACGCAAAGGTCAGTAGGCTCAGGGCTCTTATCCCAAACTTTCTGCCTCCCTTTGGACCAACCTTTGCTGGCTGAGGCACCTCCTTGTGTGCACAGGGGTTTTCCTGGCTGTTGCATGGAGCGGAGCTTGGAGTGCTGTAGCGTGGAACTGAATTTTCTGCAAATACTTCCACAGGCTCTCGGTGTGATTTTTAAGAATGGAAGGTGAAAACCGAAATAAAAAACAAGTGGTTTTGGGTGAAACAAGTGTAAGGGTTGTCTTCTGTCTTTCAGCTTGCCCTTGAGAAATATGAAGAAATGTTCCCAGCGTTCACAGACTCACGGGAGTGCAAGCTATTGAAAGTGAGTAACACCAGTATTAAAATTGTAGCACAGTGCCCTTCACCTTGTGCTTTGCCACCTTGCCAGAGGTTTGGTCATTTGTTGGAACGTTTTAGAGGACATCAGACTTGCTTTGCAGTGATTTTACACCAGACTCGTGGCTCTGGCTCCAGTAGAAGGATGATTATTCTAGCTAACTCAACAAAACAAAAGCAATCAAAAAACTGTTGTTCTGTCCATGGCAGGTGGTTTGAGTAGGCTGCCGAGGTGCTGTTGTTGGAAATGTGGGTGCCCCATGTGTGGGTGCTGAGGTCCCCTCTCCTGGGGACGAGATGCCTGGCACTGGCCCTACAGAACACACAGTAACAGAGTATTCTTTAACTGTGTTTTCCTAGAAACTGCTGGAAGCTCATGAGGAGCAGAACAGCGAGGCGTACACTGAGGCAGTGAGTAGTCACAAATTCACTGAGACACACTGGTTGGTGGTGGGTTGTTCCTTTTTTCTCTTTTTTTGGGGTGTGCATACTGATAAACGTGGGGTCACTGGATGCCTGAGCTCTCAGTGCAGCCACTGAGTCCAGTGGGGCAAAACACCCAGCACTTCCCCACTTAACCCCCTGCCCCAAAACAGCCTGTGGGAGAGCTGGGTGTTGGCATAAGTGCTTCCAGCCCCTGCTCCAGCAAGTGCCAGAATGAATACTTTTAAAATTATGAGTTTATCATTGTGAGTTAATTAAAGATCCTGCCTGGTTTTGCTCCAGCTCCTTTGGGTGTTTGACAGTGGCTCAAAGTGCTGTGTTTTTTTGGATTGATAGATCCCTCCTTTTATTTTTGTTCTCTGCAAAGAGACATTTTAGGAGACCAGACTTCAAGCACTGCAGAATGCAGCTATTGCAGTGGTCTCATTTGCTTCCTGACTGTGATTCTTAATTGAAACCTTTTTCATTCGTTCGTTTTTCTAACAGGTTAAAGAATTCGATTCGATATCGCGGTTGGATCAGTGGCTCACGACCATGTTGCTTCGCATCAAGAAGTCGATCCAGGGAGAAGGGGACGGGGACCTGAAGTGAATTGTGCGTGGTGTTTGTGGCATGCAGCCTCAGTCATCTGTTCGTGTGTTACCGCCAAGGACCACTATGGGATACGTGATGCAATATCTAGCTTTATTTTGTTGCTTACAAACCTGACAAATTGTGTGTTTCTTTAGTATTCCTGCTCTTTGTTGTGACAACATGGGTAGATGGGATGTGATGCTCTGGGTGGCACTGGCAGGTCTTTCCGAGGTGAAAGCAGCAGAAATCCCTTCTTGGTTTTGGTAGCTGGGAGCCCAATGTCTGCACGTGCAGCTACTTTTCTTTCCTGCTCTCCTGTTTTAAGGCTCGGCACCATTGATTCCAGCATGGAAACAGTCTGGTACAAACAGTTGCTTCTGACCATTTGCTGTTTTGTTACCGTTTCTGTTTCTCGATAGACTTTGTTGTTTTTTTAAAAAAATTATTGGTTTTAACGGTGCTAGGGGAAGGCTTTGTGACACTTCTATGCAGCGTGCAGGTGTGTGTGCATCTGGTGCACCCAGAATGACCTCCTGCTGAGCACCTCGGGACAGGGTGGCTGAGACTGGTGTCAGCCACCACAGGTAGCCCTGGTTGACGGTGTGGTTTGTATTTCAGATACAAAGATTATAAAAATGTAAGGTTATTCTCTATTTTCTTGGAGCTATTTTTCTAACTTTTCATTTACACGACCTCCCGCTGCCGTCTGTTAGTGCAGGGTCCTGCGTGGTGCCCCCTTGTATGAAGGTGTTGACTGAGAACTTCATCTCAGGCAGAAACCTTGTTTGAGTTGTCTGGGTGACAGATGACTCCCAGTTTGCTCTGAAAAGGTGTAGACACGTTTAAAAATTCCTGCGGTAATTTTAGCAACGTGTTTCAAAACGTCTGTGCCCCAGGCTGCTTGTTCAGTGCTTTGTTTCCCTGGGGATGATTAAGCTACCCATTATTTTAGGAGTATGTATTAAGGAGGACTTGGGAGCCTGTGCAATTTGTCAGGGGGGGTTGTCACTCACTATTCCTCTGCAATGACGTGATTTTCAGCTGTGCTGCTGACATGTAAATAATGAAAGTTATTAATTGATTGCTTTATTTGGTGCAACTGCCAACATGGGCCCTCTTTCATGGCCTGAGCAGGGATACTGGAGTAGCCCCTGGTAGGCACTGCTGTCCCAGGTGGGCTTCACCTCTTGTTTTTCTTGCTGAAGTGATTGTCTTTGCTTGTGTTCTGGCAGGCAGTTTCTTCAGTTTGTTTCTAATCTAGATATTTGAGCTGAAGTTGGTTTGGCTTATTAGTCTGAGGGGTTTAGTACTTTATCTCTACCACTGGCTTAAAAAGAAAACCAAAAACTGCTCCTTGTACATGCCAAATTATTATTATTTTTTTGTTTTCTTGACTGATGTCACAGGTCACATTTTCTGTAGACTGTTTTGTGCATCTTAACATGCTAGAAAGACCTGTGGGCTGTGCAGAACTGGCACAGAGTGCATGGAAAATGCCTGGTCAATGCTCCTGCTTCCAAGCACCTTCAGCTCCCTCACTCCTCAGATGAGTTTTTAAGGCTGCTGCTGCTCCCATCAGCCTCCATCCACAACAAAACCATTGCTTTAACTTAGGCCACCATGTGTCACCTCTGCCTGTCCCATAAACATGGACAGATGGTTCCTGTCCTTTGCGTCCTTGTGCCACCAGGTAGCATGGTCTTCTTGCTGAAGCTGGCTTAACTGCAGATTTGCTCTTATCTTGGACACAAGGGCCCAAAGCTGGAACTGCTGAACTTGCCTGTGGTAAACAGACAGGGGTGGAACTGTTCTGTTCAATTGACCCATTTCCGTAGCAAGAAAAGCCCCAGAGTATTAACAGCTTTTGCCTTCCCTTGTACCCAGCACCTCCAAGTGAAGGGAAGCTCAGGCTGCAAGGTTTCCTTTCCCAGTGTCAGCAGAACCCATGCAAGCGTTTTTTGCTTTCTTTTTTTTTGTTAACTTTTCCAGGTGTCAGTGTTACACACAGCTGTGATGAGCTGCGTACGGAGCTGGTGGACCAGAAGACCGTACCCATGGGGTTGTGTGGTCTGTAACTGTGCTCTGGAGTAATACCATTAAAATACACATTAGTTCTGTAGAAGTAGGCTGCAGCATGTCCTCCAGTGTGTCAGTGGTAAATTGTGACAGTTTTAAAATGACAATCTGCCACTCTGCTGTATTCCCCCCGGTACACAACTCTGTACTCTGAAAACTTATTAATGAAATGGCCTTAGCAAGAATATAATGTTTTGTGTGAATCTGTACATGAATAAAGTGAAAAATCATAAATGTAAGTAGTGATAAATGTTCTTTCCTGGGAAATGCAAAAGGCTGAAGTTGGAGCCTAATGGAAATCTGTGGGGTGTGAACAGTGAGCTGTTAAGGCACAGCTTCAGCCCTGCCAAGGGTCTGAATTATGTCAGGTGTATAGAAACATCAGATCATAAAGTCACTAGAAGGGTCAGTCTTTAGATTTCAGTGTTTTAATAAGAACAGTTCATAATGAATAACTCACTTCTATTGGCAGAGTAGAAAAGCTTCCCTGGCTATGGGTACTAATGCTGAAGAGTTTAAATATATCTACAAACTCTTTACAGTGGTCATGGGGAATACTGAGCTTTGACAGAACAGTGCACTTGAATAAATATTTCAAATATAACCTCTTGGAAATGTTCTCTTTAAAAAAAATTCCCTTTCTATAGATTAAGTTCTTGATTCCATGGTAAGATGTCAGGCATTCCCTTAAGGTTCAAAAATAGCTCTGTGCCAGAACGTGGAGATCTTTATTGCTTTGCCAACCCCCAAGTCTTAGAACAGGCCCTGACAAGACATGATTGTGCTTACCTTTACCCTAGTGCAAGCTGTCAGAAACCTTTTATTGCAGCTTCAGCTGAGAAAGTTTCTGTGGGGATACTGCATTCATAGTAAAATACAGCAAAACAGAAAAGCAAAACAGGAAAAGTAATTATAAAAGCTCCAGCTTCTTACAGGGTGCCACTGGGAACCTGGTCCTGAGTTTGAAGCATTAACTATCCCAGCGACTTGCTGCTGATTCCCAGCTGCTCCCAGGAACAAGAGTCATCCCAGTTAGATATGTCTTTTGTCAGTGCCAAATATTTCAAAGGCTCCTTTCTTGCACCAGGAAAATACCTCAAATCCTCCCAAAGTCCTCCAGTGAGGAAAACCTCTGTAACTTTCTCCTTTGAGCTCAGCCTCTGTGCTAGCAAAGGAAATCCAGAAAATGCTGACCCTGGACAGAGACACACTCAGGTTTCCCTGTGCAACAGCCTTCCCAGCTACTGGCTGTGCCTGGGGAGAACAAGGGATGTACTCCCTGGGGAAGAGGAGGAGACATTCAAGAAAGACCTTTCCTGGTAAGAAATGCCCAAATGGGAATGTGATTCTCTGGGTGACTGGTGGGGCTGGGATCCAAACCCTGTGGGTGCTGGAGCAGGCAGTGTGAAGTGGCAGGTTTGGAGCGTGGGCTGAGAGAAATACTTGGGACCCTTCACCCCTTTGCTCACTTTGTCACATTTCCCTCTTTAAAACACACCAAAAAAAGGCACATTGCCAGGGTGACTGCTGAAATGTAGCAGCAGATGCTAATGTGGAGAAACCTTTGAACTTTAAGTTTATTCATGGCTGATGTGATGAATAAACCCCAGCTCAGTGGGAACAGTCACAGAGACACCAGCCTAAAGCTGCCACTCAGCTGCCAGCACAGCCTTCTACACAAAGGATTCACAATCCAGGACATAACCACCTAAATCCCTTCACAGTCCACTACTTTTATCACTTATTTGCATCTTTTTATGTCAATTAGTCATACATACCCTGCCTGCCTCTTGTTTGTAACTGAATTTACCTCTGGAGACTCCAGTGCTGGTGGAATTAGCTGTTAACAACTCAACAGCAAAACAGTAATTAACTTCCCACTGGAGTAAAAAGTAGATCTGCAGTTCAGAGCCAGTTATGGTGGAGAAATGAGCATCACTGAGCTACCAGAACCAGCAGAAAAGGCCCAAGCTAACAGGAAAAAGCCAATAAGCTGTCTCTGTCCACCAGCTGTTACAGCTCAAGTACTACTTTTCATAGACATTTGTACAGGAGATGATGTGGTCTCTCTATCACTCAGTTATGTAATCTGGAGCAGCTAGAATCACAGAACCACAGAACGGCTTGGGTTGGAAGGGACCGTATTGATCATCTAGATCCAACCCCTCTGAACAGGTAGAGACACCTCCCACTATCTGAATCCAAGTGTCATCTGTACCTGGTTCCACAGAAATGGAAAAGTGTAAGTGAGACAGTCCTGGGCTCCCATTTGCCCATTCTACAACTACAGAATCAAAACTCCAGGGACAAAACTCCAGGTCTTGCCGAAGCTTGCTCCCACCCACATTCCCAAGGAGTGAGCTGGGTCCCTGCTTGGATCTTTGGCAAAAGCAGAGCTACCCCAATGCTTCCTGAAAAGCAATTTAGTAAAACTGATTTTATAGATGAACTCCAGCTAAGGAAAACACAATTAATTTCACTAAAGCTACAAGGCCGAGGAACACAACATTTCTCCTGATTGTACGTGTCTCATTGAATCAACCGGAAATCAAACTCCCACCTTCTGTACAACCCATTGGGATGTAGGGACTTGCTTTCACTTCAGACCTGCTAGAATGAACACCCTTGTACTTGTCAGCTTCCTGGGACTTCTGCCTCCTCTGCCACCTCCCCTGTGTGCTGTTACTCTGCCCTACCTGTGGAGATGGAGCTGTACACGTTGGAGGTGGGTAATAGAGTTTTGGAGGATATTGTAGAAATCCAGTGCATGTCTTTCACATCTAGCCCTGCTTCTCTGTTACAACAGCTTCCCCTAGTTCCCTCAGGAGGTCACTGGCAAAGTCAAAGGACTATACAAAGGGCGCGGCTTCAACGGGGTTTCTAAATCCCACATTATTCCATATTCACCAGAGTGTGGAGCTGTGGCTGAAGAGAGTCTGTCTGTGTCTGCAGCACTGTCAGCTCACTAAGCGTGGTGGCCATCAGGGCTTCCTGGGGGCCTGGAGTCCCGTCAGACTTACAGTCTGTGCCGGCAGCGGAGCTTGTGTCGTGCAGCGCGGTCACGCTCCCGGGGACGGCTCCCAGGCTCTGGTAATGGCCGTTCTCTGAAAAGGACAGCAGCTTCTCTGGGATTTTAGGTGACACATCGTATTCTTCGTCAGGAAGCTCCGTTTTGTGACCTTCATCATTCTTAGATGCTCCTTCCACAATGACAAGGAAGGATTTCCAGGGGGTGTTTTTATCATGTATCTGAAAAAAAAACAAACACCAACCAAAAACCAGGTTGAACACACATGACTGACCAGGAGGCAAAACCTAGGACCTGGCTTCTAACTGATGTTGGTAGGAAAAGTTTCTCTCTTTGTCCCACAAAACTAGGTCAATATGCACTCAGGCACTGTGTCCCTTCCTGTGTTCATAAAGCATCTAACTGCTCTAGCAGAGGCTGGCCCAGAAAGCAAGGCACATGCCTCCAGGTCACAGAACAAATCTGTGATGAACAGTCCTCAGGCATGACCTACACAGGCAATGCCAGAACAGATTAACAGCAGCTTCACTGCAGGCTCAGTGTTACAAAGCCACATGGAGTGTTACAAAGCCGCCCTTAGAGAAAGGATGATGTGCGAAACCCAGCAAAAACTGGACAGAAAGTCCCCTCCAGGCCTGGCAAAGCTGACAGTAGGTGGGCAGGGAGGAAGGCTGGGGGACAGCAGAGTGAGAGGTTCCTACCGAGGTGTGCCGGCGGAGGGTGGACTTGTCAGTGAAGGTGCGTCCACAGGCGTTGCACATGAAGGGCTTCTCCCCCGTGTGGATGCGGTGGTGCCGCTGCAGCGCGTTCAGCTGCGTGAACTGCTTCCCACACTGGTCGCAGCAGTAGGGACGCTCCCCTGGAAGTGGAGAGCAGCTTTAACACAGGGGTCCTGCCACTGGGGAGCCTGAAGGAACCCCTGTGTTTCGTGGAACAACAGGGCAGGAAAGGCACCTTCAGGAAAGAAGCCAAGGTGCTTCCAGAATTCTCACAGTTGTGTCAATTTTGTCACGTTTGAAGTTTTTGCGTGCAATATTCACAGATACTTACAGAGCCTGCATAATTCTGTGCAACCACTTCATGTCTCCCCATTTTTTACAGGTATATTCCTCTAGCAACTGAAGGCCTCTCTCAGAATACAAGTTTTCCTGTTTGCAAGGTACGTTCTGTAAGCATGAATACTGGAGCTGCTCATAACCAGAGGTCACCTGGTACCACACCAGAAACTCTCTTCTCTTCAGTCACTGTATGAAGTGCTTCTTGGGAAGGACCAGGGTTTTTTGTTTAGGGTAGAAAAAGGGATATTAAAAAAACTTCCTAACAGATGCAAGTGGTGTCATAGAAAAAGAGATGACACTCCAGAACAGGAAAAAAACATTAACATCAGCACTGCCATGGTGACGTCCCCTGCTCCCAGGGTAAAAGAACACAAAATGGAGGGAAAGCTGATGTTGCAAAGAGTGGAAGTGACTGTTATCTTGTCTTCTTCCCACACAGACACAAAGCCCAGGTGTCACTGACAGCACCATTTGGAAGTCAGTGTTATTGTACCTATGGTCACCACTCTCTACTCAAAAACCCAGAGGAGCAGGCGGGAATAAACATACTGAAAAGAAAATCCAAGCAGGAGAGAATGCAAACATGAAAGGTGGGCATGCAAACAGGACCAGAGCAGTACTTTGCTCAGTTCTGTGGTCACTAATAATCCCAGCAGCATTACTAATATCTGTAGAGCTCTTGGAAATATTTCAGAGAGTTGTTGTAACTCTGAAAGAAGCAAAGGGAGTACAAGGAGAAGGGAGGTGGATGAAAGAATGCACTAAATCAAGAAGCAAGGTAGGAATTAAATATTGGGAAATCCTAGTTGAGAAATCCCTTCTCTGAATTATGCAACTGTGAAGTTTGAGTCTTTAAATTGTGGTGGTTTGTTCCAAACCAAAGGAGCACATCCTACCTGTGTGAACTTTTATGTGCTGGTAGAGTGAGTTCCGCTGGGCAAACGTCCTGAAGCAAACCTCACATTTGAACGGTTTGGATCCAGTATGGATTCTGTTATGGTGTTTCAAGTACTCCTTTGAGGCAAAGCTCTTCCCACATGTTTCACACATAAAAGGCCTTTCCCCTACAGGAACAGAATTTAAACATCATACACAAAACCCAGAACATTTCATTCTAATTTAATGTTTTCTGCCGCCCACATTTAGTTATGAGTTACCAGCAGAACACAGATGGTCGTAAGACAGGGCAATTAAAGAGGTACAAAAGTACCACAGACAACTCTCAGGTGGTACCAAGGGGCACTCCAAAACATCAACGTATACTATGAAGAATACCCAGGAGAGGGATATGTCCCTTTTAAAGGGCTTCTTTGCAGATCAGCATAAACCATGACAGCCATTTTACATTGCTCAGACTAACTGTTCCAGACTTACAGAGAAAACATTTTTATCTAAAGAATTCAGCTAGACTTTTTATTGAGAACAGATCTTAGGATACTGAGCACTATCCAGAGCAGCCTCAGTCCACACTTGAAATGTGGGTTCCCAACCAGATGGGAACTCCCTTTCTCTTTAATCAACTCCTTTTACTCTTACTCTCTCCCCAGTCTACCTATTTTACACATATAAAAACAACCCTATTTAAAAAACTAATTTTCAGAATGAAAATAAGATCTCCTGCCTTCCCAGCAGGCCTCCTCCTGCACGCAGCATGTTGCAGTCTATGGCTTCCTCACAAGGGGAAGAGATGGGGCAGGTCCTGATCTCTTCACTCCAGTGACCAATGACAGGACTCAGGGAAAAGACAGGAAGCTGGATCAGGAGAGGTTTAGGTGAGATATCTGGAAAAGGTTTTTCACCCAGAGGGTGGTTGAGCACTGGAACAAGCTCCCCAGGGAAGTGGTCAGAGCACCAAGCCTGCCTGAGTTCAAGAAGTGTTTGGGTGATGCTTTCAGGCACATGGTGTGACTCTTGGGGTGCCATACACAGGGACAGGACTCGGACTCGATGATCCTGACGGATCCCTTCCAACTCAGCATATTCTATGATTCTATAAAACCAAGCCTTACCTGTGTGACACCGTTTGTGATATATAAGCATGTGATTCTGAGTGAACCTGGCACCACATTCATCACAGACAAAGGGTTTTTCTCCAGTATGGATTCTGAAACAAGAAAGCAACATTAATGCTCCGAGGTACAGCTCTTCCCTCTGCAGAAAAAGCTGCTCAACTCTCCAAAAGTGACTGCACACCAACAAGAGATGTTAGTGCCTTTTAAAAGCACCTTCAAGCCGGGCCAAATTCTGCACTGTGCTTTCTGTAGTGCTGCTTTTTGTTTGATCACACAAGTGCTGCATGATCAAGGCCCAGATCTGGACACTTCTTTAAGGTAAAATCAAAATTAAGGTAAAATAAAAATTTTAAAGGTAAAAATTAAGTTTAAAAAGCTTTTATCCAGATAGACAGACATAACTATCTTGGGATCTGAAGTGAAGCTTATCTTTGTATCGCTGACACTACCAGTTAAATATGCCACACAGAACAAGAGTGATGAGCTTCCTGGCAGGCTGCTCTGGCAGGGCCATTTAGTAGGGACTCACAGGCTACTCTGGAACAAAGTGGCACCCAAGGTATGGAATTAGAGGATGCCACTTCTATACAGTAATTTTTCTTGCTGTCACCCCAAGCCCGCAGTGTGATCTCCTGGGGAGGGCTGCATGTGCAGGAAGGCCAGCTTCCAGAGTTGTGGCCTAGACCAGTATCCCAGCTTTCTCTAGCTTAAATTTTGAGCCTGTGCCCATTTCAGTGCTGTTTTGAATAGTGCTGCAGAAACACAGGCCAGTTCTCAAGGTGATTTACATCAACAGTAGGAACACAGTTGTAAAAATATATACAAAAAGATGAGAAATTCTCACCACAGAAGATTATGATACACAAGTGAGGACAGCATTAAGTTTCCAGCATTCAACAAGCTTAATTAATAGTCATGGTGTCACACCAGGGAGGGAAAACTTCACCAAAGTTTCAAAGTGCCAAAAAAATAGTAGTTTAAGCAGCACAAAACAGTTACTTGTTGTTAGGAAAGGACTCATGATGAAAGAGAGATGCCCTACAGCTGCATCAGCAATAACCCCATAACAGCACTACCAGAAGTTTGCTTTCTACCACTGGGAGTAAACCCACTGACTTCCTTCAGGGCAGTGACACAACACAGTGGGTCATGAACCCCCTTGCAGAAAATGCCACCTGGGAATACAGTGACAAGCCCATTTTGGGGCTGAGTAGTAGTACATTGGGATCTCTCTCCTATACCTGCCTCTTCATGCTTACTTCCTGGTTAGACCCTGAACCTCTACCTCTGAGTCTCACTGCACTACAACTGATTGAATCAGCCCTGCATGTTCTTCAATTTAACAGGCAGCCAAACCTTTTAAGGATATTGTCAGACTTATTGCATAACATCATTCTATTGGCTATAAGGAGGCACTGAATTAGCCAAAATAATTATAGCCCTAATCCAACAAATAATTTGGCTCAGGCATTGCTTTTTTCATGTGAAATGTCCCACTGACTCTTAACAGGTCTGCCCCCAGGGGAAAAGTGAAGTGTGTGCTTCAGCAGCAGCAGCAAGGCCTCAGCCCCTGCACCATTGCTTTGGTTTAACAAAAATTACAGCAACTCCCTTAACCTGAAAAGCAGGGGTTGGGGGGGAAGCTATGAAAAAAGGAAATATGGATTTCCAGTCAGCCACGTTTTACATCCCCACTTCACTTGAAGGCTCAAGGTATGTTCCAGGGGATCCTGCTTCTCCCCCCAGAATCTAACAAGGCCAGTGAAGTCTGTTCATACCTCATGTGTGTTTTAAGTGCAGAAGGCTGAGAAAATTTAGCCTCACACTCTGTGCACCCATAAGGCTTGTCGCCTGTATGCGTCCTTTCATGGAGCCTCAAGGCAGTTTTGGAGCTCAACCCCTTTCCACACTGCTGGCACTGATGACGCTCCCCACCACCCTCATGAACCTGGAGAATGTGCCTCTTGACGTCCTTCTTCCTCTTGAACTTCTTACCGCAGAGCTCACAAGGGAAGTGGCGCTCGCTGCTGTGGACGTGGCGCTGGTGGCTTTTGAGGTTGCAGCGGTTGGCAAAGGTCTGGCTGCAGGTGTCACACCGGTACACGATCTCGGCTGCGATGCCGTGGCTGTGCTTGATATGCTTCAGGAAACTCTTCTCGTACAGGAATTCCTTCTCGCACGTGCTGCACTTGAAGTTACTGCCTCGTTTCTTTTTATCCTCTTCGGATTTCTTCAGGCTTTCTTCTGATTCGAGGTTGCTGTCGCATTCCTCGCTTTCGGGTTTGATGTTGCTCTCCACCTGCTCCTCTTCCCTCTCCACATCACATGTATCCTGGTCCTGAGGGTACGCGTCGTCTTCAGCAGTGACCTCTGCATTCTTCTGCTGCTCTCTCAGCCGCCTCGTGTATTTCTTCTTTGGGATTTCCACAAACACTTTCCTCCCAGCCAGTCTCCCACTTGCCCGCCTGATTTTGGCAAAAGGAGGCTTCAGCACTTCCTTCTTTTTGTCCATTTTCTCTTTTGATTTGGCAGCTGGCATCTCAGGAGACACCCTGTTGCTGGGCCTGCCTGCCGGGGAGCTGGGAAGATCCAGAGGACACCCTGCCTGGTCAGCCTCTGCTGCAGCAGCTGCTTTGGATTCCAGCAAAATGCCTGGCTCGGCAGCGCCCTCTTCCTCGGAGTTCTGTGATTCCGAGAAGTTTTGCAGCTCCAACAGCACCGATTCAAGCATCTGCTTCTTTAATTGGAAGCAGGTTTCTGAAAGGTCCAAGCACTTCAGCTTTTCAGCTATTTCCAGCATACGCTGCACCCTGTCCTCTTCCACTTCTACCTTAGCAGTGTAGACAAACTCAAGAAACGAAGCGAAATCAGCAACCTGGACCTCGTTCAGGAACACGTTGGTCCTTGGGCCATCCATGCCTTTCTCATTAAGGAACACCTCCTTGAAAAACTTGCTTGTTGCTGCCAACACAGCCTTATGAGCAGCAAACTCTGCCCTGACCCCTTGGTACTCCACACTGACAGTCACGTCGCAGAGGTGGCCCAGGAGACGCAGCTGATGCATTTCATTCAGCAGGTTGATGGGAGAGGACTTGGATTCCAGTAGAACTGCATTACTTTCCATCTTTCTTCTCCCTGCAAGAAGCTGTCAACAATACTGCATGTTAGCTATTTGCACAAAAGCTAAGAAAACTCAAAAGATTTCAGCAGCCAAAAGCCACGTCCAGGCTTTCAAGAGTGCTTCACTTCAGATTTAAGCACTTAAGGTTCTTGAACTTCAGTGACCAGACTTTCAAAGGAGCATTGTGAAAAGCCTGGCTAGAAGTGCAGATTTCAAGAAGTGCCACCCTCAGCGGCCAGATCTAAAAACTTGCTGCCAGTCACACAGAAAGATTTCTCTGAAGTTAATTGGAGTTTAAATCTCAGCCGTAATTTTGCCTGAAACACGAGAGACCATGAGAACCTGTAACAAGGACAAAGCAAACAGAGGCAGATCAAAATAAATGTTCTCATTATGGCATGTGGAATTAAGAAATTACTTTCCCTCCTAATCAGGCAGTAAGAGAAGGCTAAGATTAAGTGAAAGTTAACTTCAATCCTATATAAACTCTTCATTAAACAGGCTTTTGAGATAAGACTTTTAAAAAAGACTCGGGATAAAATTGCAAATGCTTGAATAACCAAAGCATAGGAGACATAGGAATAATAATATTCAAGCTGTAAACCTAAGAAATAGTAAAACTTCCTAAGTGTTTTCTTTTTTTAAATATTAATAATTCAAAACAGCCTTCCAGACTACGTTTTGTACATCCATTTGTGGCTCTACAAAGGCTTCACGATTTCTGCTACCATGTAGGTGATGTCACACGTCCTAGCAACGTTTTAAGCTGCTCCAAAGCCCTTGAAGGACTGAGGTCTTCTTCTAAAAAGATGTTTGATCCCAGAACAAACATTATTTCTCTGATCTTTGGAGACACACTGAGCAAGCTCCCCCCCCGCAATCTATTAAATTTTACTGTGTTCCTAACAACTACGTAAAAAAGAAGTGTTACAAAATACATGGATTCATGGAAATTATTGGTAGCCACATAAAACTAATGCTTCGTGGACTCAATACAACACCAGATACAAAGCCTCAGGAAGCCTCTGTCCTAAGGGGTTCACAAATAAGGCAAATGAGACCTGAGGGGAGAAGAAAGGTTTCCCCAACTTCATGCAAGTGGGGGGAACAGGTAACACAATACACTACGGGCACCCATACTCCTACCTTAGCTTCTACAGAAGAAGATAATCCTCAGAATCAAACCCTTCCTGTTTCCTAAACCTGGCATCTTCAGCTCAGCCTTCATTATTCAGATTTAAATAGTTCTATTAATATTATTCTAAGAAATACCCAAAAAACATTGTTACCAAGTTATGCTTGCTACACCTAAACCAAAGACCCAGGAGGGGACAAAGGCTTATTGGCAGCAGCTCAGAGCTCCAGCAGCACCTCAAAACACTGTCCACTTTTACACACCAACCCCAGTGCTGCTCTGTACTTTTGATGGGAATTTTCTATGAACAGGAACAACACGACTTGACTCCTGACTGAAAAGCTGACTCTCATAAATAAGCATATAAGGTGACATTTAAACTTTGCTTTACTTCCTCCATAGTCACTCTGTGACTTTTTCCCTCCGGGTTTTATGACACACTGGCAAGTCCACGTATTTGAGGGGGATGCAAAAATATAACTCTTCCTTCTTGATACAATTATTTTTTAACTGCTTATCAGGTTATTTCCCAACCATCCATCTCTTTTTCTGTTTGAGCTGTGGTCACATGCAGAACACAGCGATCCCCAGCAGGAAACACAAACTCCAACCACAAAATTTTTCCACTGGGCTGACCCAGCCCGTAAGGAGCAGCTCGTTTCAGGACCTGACCACAGACACGTGTGCTAACAGCCCAGCTCTGCCAATTCCTTTTTTTCTTAAGGCTGCAGAACAGAAACCTCCTGTTCTTCCCATGGCAGTGTTTGCAGAATCGAAAGCTGCTGTGAAAACACATCCCTCGCCTTCCGCTGGTTTGGAATTTGTTCAGAGAAGCAATGATTCAACACATACAGTGAGATACGTTGCAGCATGAAGGCATTTTTGTTGCCATTCCTGGTGGCAAGTATATTACTGAGCACTGGGCTGGCACATCATCTTCACCAGAAGTGTGACAGATTCATCTCAAAACAGACAAGGCCTGAAGCTGCAAACCGAGCCTGCTCCCTAGGACTAGCCTGTGGAACCAAGACTCAAACAAAAGCAACCACTGCATGCAGTCAGCCAGCCATCACACACCATAACGTGTGGCCCCTTCCAAAAGTAAAATCAGCTGAAAAGAGACACAAAGAGCCAGCTTGATTTAGCAGGCTGAACCCACAAGATGTCTGTTCTTCTGCACCAGTAACTCCACGCAGACCACAAAGAGACACGCACCAACCTGCTGCACTTCAGGATTGCTCCAGCTACCAAAGCTACAGGGATGGCACCACACCTGGCAGAGCCCGCAGGGCTGAGGCAGAGGTTCAAGGCACGAAGCAAAGGGCAGCAACAACCCATCCCCGGTTTTAGCCGACAGGCTAGAGCACCCTACGAGGAGCCAGCAGATGCGTGCTGACCCCGGAGCAGGAGATTCCTGTAAGGAAGGAGGACGGGACACTGGTTCCCCGCAGCTCAAGTGACAGGGCCAGCTGCCCTCCCCCCCCGCAGGCCCCTTCGGGCCGGCTGCCCTGCCCC